TAAGACATCTATACTTCCTTACGGTCTCCCACAAAGACTTGAGGTTCCACCCGAAAATCTGCAAAAAAGCGCGGTTGAGTACACATCATGTTGAGTCGAGTATCGAACCAACGTACCACGACGAATTCGGTGTAGATAGAGAAGTCCATCGTCTGAAGGTAACAGCTGTTAGCGATTGCGATAGCGGCATCGATGTATTCAAAGGCTTTCTGGCGATTGTTGCTCTTCGAGGCGGCGAGTGCCATTTCAGCGTAGAAGTATACCTGATGCGCGAAGTGCAGAACGATCAGTCTCAGATTCAAAACACGAACCGGAATTGATACTCACTTGCACGACTTGACAAATAAGAAGATCGGCATCGTGAGAAACCTCGGCCATGTCATTGACATACATGATTGCCTCATCGTATGCGTTTGTATTGAACGTTGCAATAGCCTGAAAATCATAATGAAGCACGGAGCATGTAAGAAAAAGTGTAACACACCCTGATCAAAACAAGAAGATGATGGGTTGCTGAATCTCCCGCCGAGAACCTCAACGCGAGATCGAAGGCAATATTCGCTTCCCGAATCTGCTTCAATCCGTAGTGAGCGATGGCCTTGGCCATATAACCTATCAACGACTTTTGAATGCTGATGGACTATGTCATGATTCAAATTAGTATATCTTAAAGGGGTTCAGTATTCGCCGGTATAACTCACCTGAATTGCGTCTTTAAGCGCAGATTCCCAATCACCCATGCGAGTATAAGTAATCGAACGGTGCGCAAAACAGACGTAGTTGGTGGCATCTGTCTTGATGGATTGTGTGAATATATCCAAAGCCGTAGACAACTTCCCCCCCGTCGTGATTATAGTGTAAGCGGTCTCGTCCATGGTGAAGGTGAGGGTATAGGTCTGTGAAATGCTCGAATTGTGGTATTAGAATAAATAACGAGAACATACTTTGTGCCATTGAGTAACTTTAACTTGAGTCTTCGTCTAAAATTCGCGAGATGAGACGACGAAATCATCAGAAATCAACGGGAACATACCGATACCAGACCCGTCGAGGGTAGCATCCACTGTGATATCTTGTGATCATTGCCTCCGCTAAAGAATGTGACACAAAACGCGCCGGCGGCGACATCGAGTACGTTGGATTTGGGGAACGGCCAGAGGCGAATACTGCCGTCAGAAGACGCGGAAGTGATGACGGTGTTGGAATCATTGACAGCAATAGTGCTGATCTTGTCAGTGTGGCCACGGAAGGTTTCGATCTCTTCCCCCCTCGCTACTTCCCACACCCGAACGGTAGGATCGCGTTTACCGCCTCCTGAGAGAAGGTATGTTCCCTGGAGCGTCCATGTGAGTGTGCAGGTGCCACCTGAGTGGCCCTTGAGCGTTCTGACGCGCTGCCTAGTTGCTGTATTGTAAATGCAGATATTGTTCTCTGTGGCGATGGCAAGAAGGTCGCCGGATAACGAATACCGAGCGCAGTAGACCACTGCATCAAGAGGGATTGCTTCTTGATTTTCCTTCCACGTAGCTGTGCACCAAAACTTCACCATACGGTCACCCGCACTCGCCAAAGTTTTTCCATCTGCAGAAAAGTCTAGCGATATATGGACCTCGCTGGACTGGTGGGCTGTAATGAGTTGAAGAGCGACAGATTCACTGGTATAGGCAACGGTATTGGTAGTAGACCCGTTGTGAGCAATGGCAGTAGACCCGTTGTGGGCAATGGAAGACCCGTTTTGGGCGGTGATGGACCCGTTTTGCTTGGTATGGGTGAACCCGGCTCCCTGGGCACCATTAATGAGACAACCTCCAGTTTCCCCGTCCCAGGGAATGATTCCTCCAGTGATATCACAGCTTGCTATGAATTTACCGTCTCGTGATACCGCCAATCCAGTCACATCGCTCTGATGCCCTACCAGACGTTTCAATACCTGCTTCGTCGTCAAATCCGATAGACAAAGTGTCTCCTTCAAACTGGTGACCATACGCTGCGTGTTGGGCAACACTGCAACTACGGAGATGGACTCGTAATGACTTTCAAACGTCTCCGACACTTCTGTGACCTTTTCTGTGACGTGTTGTGTGACGCGCTTGGCGACGTATTCGGAAGTAGCGCTGAGCGCAGTTTGTTCTGCCACTAGAGCAGTGGGTGGCGCCATCAGAGGGTGTGGCGACATCAGAGTGTGTGGGGCTATCAGAGTGGGTTGCGACGCCATTTTACTAGAGAATAAAGTCGAGTAGGGCTTGGTGGAGGTATTTGAGGTGTCTTGTAGAGGTACATTCACTGTGCGTTTTTATACTGTCTCGGTGTTCGTTAGGCGCTGAACTTAGGCTTCATCAGGGGCTATTGTGAACGGATAGACAGATCCAGGCATCCAATTTGTGAACCAAGCGCTAGGGTTCATTCGGTACCCGCCATTTCCGAAAGCAAGACACTTCCATCGCCGTGGTTATAGCTGCACTGGCGCTCATTGCTGTGCTTTAAGCTCTGATCTATTCTCAAATGACATTGTCAATTTCAACTTGACCGAACGAACGGCTCTCCTCTCGTAAATCACTTGCGCGAACCCCAAATCCTTCCTGATTTGGCCACTACCACGTCGGTCATACCCCGGGAGACGATACCTTGTGACTACTATCCTCGTCCGGTTTCGCTTCCTAACCCTTCCCGTGCAGTATTAAACTTTGGCTCTATACGGCGAAGATCAAGACGAAGATACTCTGCGAGATATAGGACTTCGTCTCCCATGTGAAGGTTTGATCGATGCGGTGGCGGGGTATACGTGCGCAGAAATCAACAACTCTGACAGTTGCGCGCAACTTTTCAAAATAGCCACCGGCACTTGCGAAGGCCGGCCGTTGGAATCTATCTATCCCCACTCAGTTGTTATTTTGAACACTCCCCTTCCAAACTGTCACTAAGCTGCCACTCGATATAGTCTAATAAACTGCACTCGGATGTCCAAAAATAACATCCCAACGGAAGTTTAACATACTGTGCCGCACATCACCGCAGCTGTTGGTCAACGTCATCACGACTTGTCAAAGTTCGATGGCACGGCTTCGTCGTACGGGCAAACAGAAACATTCTTTTCTCGCCCACAAACTGAGGATTCGGCCCTCAGCATTTATATATGGCATTCCGAGACAATGCGATTCGGAAGATATGTCGAGGTAATGCTGAAGCGAAGTTCATCCACTATGACCAGGGCCTTTGAAATGTCATTTCAGGGATCACGATCAGACCCGTGCTAATCACTATCTGGTCATCAGGGCGCCTTCATTAGCATGATAATATGAGCTACCTTCTAAATGTGGCTCGGGTCATTCGGCTAACTTGTGTTTTGGATGTGGCATTGTCAGGAATCTTCCTGTAAATTCTTAGAAGTCAACCAATCAATGCCGCCCATTACCGCCCATCGGTATTAATCTTCATCCATCATAGACAAGGCAACAGCAAATTAAGACTTGGATGACAAGCGCATCTACGATCCTCGGCCGCGGGTTGCTGCTTCTTCCTGGGGGAAAACGTAAAACTTTGCGCGTGTAGGTAAGACGCTCTGTTCAGGCCGTGACTTCGGCCTAGCCCCAGACCATACACATCATCACCTGCAAATTTATAACGAGAAGAAGGTCTCACATGGGGGAAGACTGAAATGAATGCTTCAAGTGAAGCAACGATGTACGTCACACACAAAGTCCGGCTTCGGGTGCTAGGTGCTATCCTGTACTATCTTCCGGAATCTGATGGAAATTTCGCGGCGGTAGGTACCGATGGTTAGGAGATCAACTGATTAGAACACGGGTATGATAAGAAATATGTACCATGCTGGCACGAGTAGATGGGCGCAAAGTTTCAACACATCTGACAGCGTCAAAAACTTCCTGAAACGATCGTGAACTTTAAGGGTCTACGCAGTGAGAGTTTTGGTTGGGCAATTGAACTTACGAATGAACGATTAGTGGTGCCTCCTGAAATCTGAGTCTATGACAAATACAACACATGGGCTCACCCTCTTTGTTGGCTTGGAGTCTACCGTCCCCTGTCTTGTCCGAAAATTTTTGGCTCCCTGTAATTGCATCACCGTTCAAACTGCGTGTACAGTCATTCAATATCGACCCCAGTCACTTCATGATGGCCACTGCAGCTAAACAATGCATGATCAAAAAAATTATTGATATACAGGATACATTTATAATACCGTTCACGCCCTCACCACAGCATACTTTCCATAATGGTCACATATTTCGAAAAGCTCGTCTCAGTCCCAGGTACTCATACAGCCATGAGACGGTCCTGTTTCAAAACTGTTCATCACTTGTCTGAGGAGGAGATGGGTGGATACACATCGGCATGTATCATGACTCGCTGATCCTTGAGCAGAAGCGGTACCTTGAGCAGATATTTTGTATAAATTAGTCATGTGCCGAGCTCCAACTCACAAGTGCGATGCCAATTGAAAAGCGGAATACGTGATCGCGGGTTTGCTGAGGTCACAATACTGCGTACCGACCAAACCACGGAGTTGTCGAAAATCAAGCCAGAGCAAGACGTGGGATCCGGGATAACTGTCGAAGTACGAGATGCAATGTCATGCGAGTTCAGGTGTGCAGATTATAACGGATTTGCTGAATGTGTTGAGAGAGGCGTATGTACGCGTCGTTGAACTTGTTGGCCCGGGACTGTGAAGTCGAAATGGAAAGACGTGACTAGTCACAGCGAAGACGTGACTAGTCACAGCGAGGATGTGACGAGACATGTTTCAACTGGAAGTCAATGGTAATGCAACACCTATACAAGTTTGTAAGTCTCTCTTTCAACTTCCGGGACCGTATCACCCATCTAGAACCGGTCCCATCGATGGCAGACGACGGTGAGCACTACTGCCATCGAGCTCTCATCTGCGGGCGGTACCCCTCATCGGTCGCATCCTCTCAGCTTCTCCGCATGACACAAGAATCTACTCTCAGAACACCACGAATATTATGGCAACATGAGGAATCTGAGCGTAACATCGTCGGTGGCCGCGGGACACGCAAGATGAATCTCTACCAAGCTGTGCGAGATACCCTCAGATACTTGAAGTTCTCTCTATACGGGAGGTGTGCTGACGGCATCGATATTGGACTTACAAGGGATGATAGTGCTGCCATGTTTGGTGAGGATATAGCATTTGGCGGAGTTTTCAGGTAAACCATGATATGCATCACTATGTCATTTGTCCCCACCCATCGAACAGGGTTGACTATATATTCCCCACATTTGATCGGATTCGTCCCACTTCTCAAACTTCGTGATTGAACTTCAACCCGTCAACTTAGGTTGTGAACGAACTGTAAAGTTTCGATGCCGTTCAGGTGGCCACTTCTCTATCAGCGTGCTAGCCGTGCGTACACCAACCATGGCCGTAGATCGTATCTGGCTATGCCATTCACAGAGCCCTCAAGGGTTCTTCGTGGGTGCACCTGGTCTAACGGTATGTCCTGTCTCATTGTACTGCTAATTCCATGACCAAATCCCTAAATGAACTCATACACTGGGTTGTGATCCCCCGCTCCCTCAGCCGATGGAAAGGCCTTCTCTCAGCTATCCGCGATTCTGACCTAGTGACATTCATGGAGCCCAGAGTCCTATATCGTCTGCAGGTATGTTCCCCTTTTCCACTTCCCTGTATACATTCACATTTATTAATTTTACCCACAACTGAACAAGTCCCAATCGACGACTTTGCCCTCGCCTTCTCCCGCGCCGAGATCCTCATCCCAGGATCTGGTCTGGCACTCCCAACATGGGACGCCCCCGTCTACCACTGCGAATCCACCTTCCGTCTCCTCGATTCCCCACCACCCTCACTCGCACCACTCATCCCCCCCTACGCAGCGCCAAGGTTGAACTTGTCGATCTCCGAACGATATGGTCATGGGTTGTAGAAGCAGTTGTAGAGAATGTGCGCAGGACAGAGGCTCGCGATCCTACACGAAGCAGGTGTGATAGGTGGCGCTGGAGGAGAAATTGCTGTTGAGGTTGAAGAGGGCTTTTCTAAGGTTGGAGGCGCCTGTGAGGAGGATTACGGGGTGGGATTAAGTGTCATTTTTATATCCTTTATCTGGTCTCTCCCCCTCCTCGGGTTATGATGACGTCCATTTTCACTGTTAGTGTCCCGGCTGGGCTGCAGTTTGACAAGTTTAATATGCCGGATGCGGTCAGGGCTTTGGATGGGATCATAGAGACGCTCAGTTACTGATCTATTTGCTGATTTACGCCGTTCCTCAAGTTGACTTTGCGCCCACGGGCGTGGCATAAGATGGGAAATAGACATTCAATGACGTAGTACATTAGCATGCATGTATACCCTGTATGAGTGTGATACCAACATATTTTGGGGTGTGGAAGATGTTGAATGTTTCCATGAGTAGTAGGAGTTTTGCGTACATGCGAGTCACCGAACACTTCGTTGCCATACAATTACCGTTCAACTGAAAGGAGTCGAAAGTATCAGACCGGAGCATGGGGCTCTGAGACTAGTACTGTGCTACATAGAGCCTCACTTTTAATGGACATAAAATTGGATTCTCTTAAAAAGTATCGGATGCTTCGCTTCGACTAATCGACAGTGAAGAGGACGAGCTGAGCAAACATGATCATCGTCATGTGCACAAACGGTATTCGTAGTGGGTGCTGAGGAAAGACTCATGGTGTGTAAGCATCGAAGAATCTTTGATGTGCATTCATGTTATGAGCCAGTACACGACACAGGTACAAAGGGATATAATAAATACTGGAATAATCGCATAAAAAGCCTCCGTATTTTCAACGCGCCACCGCCACTTGCTTCGAGGCTGCAGACATACACCCTGCATGCTTGAATTCTGAATGAAACATAGTTCAGGACGGCAGCATGGTTGACATGACTGAAAAGACTCACCGGCGAACCAAGCACGTAAGCTGGCCTTCTGAGCTTTGTCGGAATCTTCCATCAGTGACAGGTAGTACTCGAGTGCTTCGATGTTACACGTCCGGGCGAGTATAAGACATCTATACTTCCTTACGGTTTGCCACAAGGACTTGAGGTTCCACCCGAAAAGCTGCAAAAAAAAGCGCCGTTGAGTACCCATATCATGTTGAGTCGTATATTGTATCAACGTACCACGATGAATTCCTTGTAGATAGAAAAGTCCATCGTTTGGAGGAAACAGCTGTTAGCGATTTCGACAGCGGCATTGATATAGTTGATGGCTTTCTCGCGATTGTTGCTCTTCGAGGCAGCGAGTGCCATTTCAGCATAGAAGTATACCTGATGCGCGAAGCGCAGAACGATCAGTCTCAGATTCAAAACACGAACCGGAATTGATACTCACTTGCACGACTTGACAAATAAGAAGATCGGCATCGTGAGAAACCTCGGCCATGTCATTAACATACATGATTGCTTCATCGTGTGCATGTGTATTGAATATCGCAATAGCCTGAAAATCGCAATGAAGCACGGAGCATTGAAGACAAAATGTAACCCACCCTGATCAGGACAAGAAGATGATGGGTTGCTGAATCTCCCGCCGCGAACCTCAGCGCGAGATCAAATGCAACATTCGCTTCCCGGATCTGCTTCAATCCGTAGTGGGCGATGGCCTTGGCCATATAACCTATCAACGACTTTTGAATGCTGATGGACTATGTCATGATCCAAGTTAGTACATCTTAAAGGGTTTCAGTATTGGTCGGTATAACTCACCCGAATCGCATCTTTAAGCGCGCACTCCCAATCACCCATGCGTGTATAAATAATCGAACGGTGCGCGAAGCAGACGTAGTTGGTGGCATCTGCCGTGATGTATCGTGTGAATATCTCTAAAACCGTAGTCAACTTCCCCCACGTGGTGATTATAGTGTAGGCGGTCTCATCCATCGTGAGGGTGAGGGTATAGGTCTGTGGAATGCTCGACTCGTGTTATGAGAGTCAATAACGAGAACATACCTTGTGCCAGTGAGTAACTTTCGTTTGAGTCTTCGTCTAAAATTCGCGAGATGAGACGACGAAATCATCAGAAATCAACGGGAACATACCGACACCAGACCCGTCGAGGGTAGCATCCACTGTGATATCTTGTGATCATTGCCTCCGCTGAAGAATGTGACACAAAACGCGCCAGCGGCGACATCGAGCACGTTGGATTTGGGGAACGGCCAGAGGCGAATACTGCCGTCAGAAGACGCGGAAGTGATGACGGTGTTGGAATCATTGACAGAAATGGTGCTGATCTTGTCAGTGTGACCACGGAAGGCTTCGATCTCATCCCCCTTCAATGCTTCCCACACCCGAACGGTAGGATCGCGTTTACCGCCTCCCGAGAGAAGGTATGTTCCCTGGAGCGTCCATGTGAGTGTGCAGGTGCCACCTGAGTGGCCCTTGAGCGTTCTGACGCGCTGCCTAGTTGCTGTATTATAAACGCAGATATTGTTCTCTGTCGCGATGGCGAGACGTTCGCCAGATGACGAATAACGAACGCAGTGGACAACTGCATCAAGATGGATCACTGCATCTTGATTTTCCTTCCACGTAGCGGTGCACCAAAACCTCACCGTATGGCCGCCCGCACTCGCCAAAGTTTTTCCATCTGCGGAAAAGTCTAGCGACACATGGACCTCACTGCCAGCGGACTGGTGGGCTGCGATGAGTTGAAGAGCGGCAGATTGGGCAATGGTCCCGTTTTGGGCAGTGATGGTCCCGTTTTGGGTAGTGGTGGTCCCGTTTTGGGTAGTGGTGGTCCCGTTGTGGCCAGTGGTGGTCCCGGTATGGGGAAAGTAAGTGATCAACTCATTATGGGCAGTGGACTTGATTTTGGTGAACCCGGCTCCCCGGGCATCATTGATGAGACAAACACCTTCTCCATTCCAGGGAATGATACCTCCAGTGATATCACAGCTCGCTATGAATTTCCCGTCCCGTGATACGGCCAATGCAGTCACATCACTCGAATGCCCCACCAGACGTTTCAATACCTTCTTCGTCGTCAAATCCGACAAACAAAGTGTCTCCTTGAAACTCGTGACCATGCGCTGCGTGTTTGGCAACACTGCGACCACAGAAATGGACTCGTGATGACTTTCAAACGTCTGGGACACTTCTGTGACGTGTTCCGTGATATGTTCTGTGACGCGTTGCTGTACGACGTGCTGTGTGGAAGTCACGGTAGTGTTGAGCGTGGTTTGCTCTGCCACTACTAGGGCAGTGGGTGGCGACGCCAGAGTGGGATGTGATGACATTTTACTGGAGGTTGGTTGAGCAGGGCTTAGCAGAGGGATTTCAGGTGTCTTGTACTGAGCTGCAGAGGTGTGTCCGCCGTGCGTTTTTATGCTGTCCCGGTGTTCGTTAGGCACTGAACATCAGGGGCTCTTGTCGTAAGCGGATATGCAGGTTCATAGGCACATGCGTCCAACTTGTGAACCAACCAGGGCAAGAATTCAATCAATCACCAACATTTCCCAAGGCAAGATGCTTTCTTCCCGCGTGGTTATAGGCTCACTGCTATGCTTGAAGGTCTGGTCAATTCTAAAATGTCGTCAATGTCGACTTGGCCTTACGGCCGACTTCCTCTGTCCTCCCATGAATTACTTGCGCGGATCCTAATTCGTTCCTGGTTTGGCTACCATCGCGTCGGTTCGCATGGGAGACGTTCGACACCTTGTGACAAGTACCTTGTTCTAATCCTCGCTGTATAGGACCCGGGTTTGGCTACCTAGACCTTCCCTTGTAGTATTGCTAAACCTTGTAACTTGGGCTCTATTCAACAAGGATTGGAACGAAGATACTCTGTGCCAAGTCACAAGGCGTTGAGTGTCTCCAATGTGAGAGTTTAACCGATGCGGTGGAGGATCAAGGGTCCGCATTTACGAGAGGACGGCAGTGAGGTCAAGCCGACATTTACAACGTCATTTTAGAATCGACCTGACCTGACGGCCATAAGGTCAAGCCGACATTGACAACGTCATTTTAGAATTGACCAGACCCACTCAGACATGTTCATGCGCAGAGTTAGCAACTTCGTCTGACAGGTGTGTGACATTTTGGGAATAGCAACCGAAAGCCTTCTCAGGTATTTGTCTAGCCAGGTCTAGCCCCACTCAATTCTTACTTTATTCTCCCATTTCATTTCCCCAATTGACGAGTTGTTACCAAACTGTTACTCGACAAAGCCCGAGAAATAAACTGCATATATGTCCAAAAATACCACCCCTTCGGAAGTTCAACATACCCGGATCACCGTGGTCGTGTCTGGCGCCGGTCAACGTCGTCGCGACTTTCCAAAGTTCAATGTCACGACTTCCTCGACAGAGTCGTTCGTTTCTTGCCCACACAACACGACGATTCAGCTCTCAGCGGCATCTACATAAGGTGTTCCAAGAATATTTGACTCGGAAGATATGTTGAGGCAATGCTGAAGCGAAGCTTACTGACTATAACCAGGGCCAAATGACATTTCATGGATCATGATCTAGACCCATGTCAATTAGCTGGGCATTAGGGCGCCTTCCTTAATGTGAAGCTACGGCCTACAGAAGAACCCGAACCGACTACCACCCACCGGCATTAATCTCGATCCATTTGATCCGTATCATAGACATGAAGAAACAGAAAGTTGGGACTTAGGTGACAGGCGTGTCCACGATTCCCTGCGATTTCTTCCCGAAGAAAAAATACAAAGCTCTGGGCGTGTGGATAAAACGCGATGTTTCTGGCCTCACCTAATCAGGTCTGGCTTGACCTGGCCTGTAAGTTTATAACGAGAAAGAAGGACCACGTGAGGGAAGATTGAACAAATGCTTCAAGTGAAGCAGTAACCTCCATCACATACAAAGTCCCACTTCTGGCGCAAGGTGCTATCCTGTGCTATCTTCCAGCCCGAGGATCTCATGGAGATTTATCGGCGGCAGGTACAGATGGGCGAAGAAATGAAACCGACGAGGACGCGAACATGATAAGAAAGGTGTGCCATGCTGGCACAGATAAATGGGCGCAAAGTTTCGGCACATCAGCGTCAAAGGTGAAATGGCTTCCCGGCATGATCGTAAAAATCTACGCAGTGGAAGTTTCCTCCTCCCCAAGTCGCTCAGCCTCAGCCTTCACCCCGGAGCCACC